AGAAGAACGACTTGTAGTCACCAGAGGGCTCAAGCGCCTTGTAGGTTTTAAACAGCGCCTCGCGCAACTCGCTCATGCTCGTCATCGGCCTCTTCAACGGAGTTATTGACTCACCCTCAGTCAGCTTGCCAGCCTCGGCCAACTGCATCAAGACCTTTTGGGCCACGCGAACTCGTTCCGCTTCGTCACGAGCCTTCTTAGCGTCCCCGTACATGGTGCCCCGTTCAAAGTCCACTCTCACCGTAGGACGAATTGCATGACTCAGTAAGTGGATCTGATCAGGGTTGAACAACGTGTCTTCGCTCTTCATCAGCTCATCCACCGTCTGCAGAGCGATGGTTAGAAACAGCCGTGGGGTGATACGGTCTTGATCAGCAAAACCAATTCTCACACAGTCGGGCATTGGCGGTGGAACGTCGCCAGGAACCTTGTCCCGACGATCCCACACGACGCGCTTAGTCGCAAGTGATCCACAATGCTCCTCGCCCGGTCCCGTAACGTCAAAGGTTACCCCAGTCAGCACCGACAACAGCGGCAATACCTCCTGTAATTCTGTGGCACAACAACCTCTCATTTTAAATCGCGAAAGAAAAAAATCCCCACACGGGCCGCACACTACCACACGGGCCGCACACTACCACACCAATTCTCTTACGCTTATCCCCAACGACAAATACCCTTCCGGAAGAAGGAGTTGTAGCCACCAGAGGGTTCTTGTAGGTCTTAAACAGAGCGTCCCGCGACTCGGTCGCTCACGCTCGCCATCGCTGTCTTCAACGGAGTTATTGAGTCACCCTCAGTCAAGTCGCCAGGTTTGGCCAACTACACCAAGACCTCTTGAACGGTCGGTCACTTGCTGTTCGCCACTAAAGAAAACAACTCTACTCACCGGAGTCACTTATTGGAGTTACCCACTCCGTCCCTGACTGCGGAGTAGGGGACGTAGTCGACGTCGTTGGCAGAGCCTGCATCGGCTCGCACTTGGTTCCAGAAGGCTGCTCCTCTGCGGGCAGCCTCAAATGAGGACATAGTCGTGTATTCGAAAAGGCAGCAAGGGGTGGTAGCAAGCCGCAGTCTGGACCTTTCGCCTCTAGGGCTGAACTCGAGCACAACGTAGGCTTGTGCGTACTCGCCGATATAGTGTTCGTAAGGGTGGGGGCAAAGTATATCGCATCTTTTTGTGATCTCGTGGGCGTCGCACTCGAGCTGAGAAATTACCTGCGTCGAGAGCCGGTAAGACTTGACGAGGTCGTCGAGATTGACGACGCGCCAGCGCGAGATGTGTCTGTCCATCTGGTCCGCCATCAAGTTGCCAGCCTCGTCTTCGGATGTAAAGAAGCCAGGTAGTGGCCCGCTAAAAATGTTGACGGGGTGCCAAGTGCTGACCCAGGGTATGGATGTCACGAGGCCTTCATCCCGGGATTTCCGGCCCAACTCCCTCTCGCTCATCCTGGTGATCCTCTTCCAGGTCCCCTTCACGGTCTCTAGCGGCGGCCACTGGCCGCGGGGCGTGTAAGCCTCGCCGTCCGGCCCGAGCACGACCCAGTCCTTAAGTGGTAGGTGGTGATCGTCAGGAATGAAGTCTTGCATGTTGGGATGTTGACTCAGCACGTTCGTGGTCACCTTGCTGGGCACAGGCAGGCTCATCACTTCACCGGGTTTGCACCGATCGCACACGAAATTTCCAACGCCACCGCGTCTGTTCCTCTTGACTGCCACCTTGTCCTCCCAGCTTATCCCCAACATCGGACGACAGATGCCCTTCCAGAAGAACGACGTGTAGTCACCAGAGGGCTCAAGTGCCTTGTAGGTTTTAAACAGAGCCTCGCGCAATTCGCTCATGCTCGCCATCGATGTCTTCAAC